CCTTCTTTGAAACTCATGGAATAGCACTACGGAATAACAACAACCAAAGAATTTTACCAAATACTAGAAACCACATCACATCACAAGAGCAACAACTAAAATGGGTAGCAAATAATGATATAATCAAGATGTTGACATTCCACACTACTTCAAACAAAAAGTTAGGAAGGAAACCCTCATCAGCACTTGAAAGAGTGACAACAGCTACTAAACATCAGAAACCTATTTTCCAGAAAATTTTTTTATAGAAAGATATTATTAATTTCAGCTGACAGTAGCACTAGCTGCTTGGTCAATGAATACTGAATGTTTCCTTATAAGGAAATAACTACCATTGCCATTAAGCAATAAGAGTTAAAATTTTAAGTTAAGTTTATCCAGTAATGAATTAATTTCATTATTATTATTATTGAATATATGATAAAAGCCTTCAGAAAAAGAGTCTCTTTCTGGCCCAGTGTGAGCTCGCAAAATAGTTTTGAAAAAGCTATGCAACCTTCAGTTTTTAGGCAATTCATGGAAATCAAGAGCATAGCCCCAAATGTTTGGTTTACGGTGTCTGAACAATTTACAAATGACCTTTTATAATTATTTATGTCCTAATTCATTAAATATAACAGTAAAACTGAAGATTTTTGAACAATGTCAATCATTATCTTATGATTTCTTAATTCCTCTTATTTTATTGTTCTCTCTCCTTAATAAATTAACTGCTTACATCTTAGTACTTAGAATGAAATGATTAAAGAAGAAAAAACAAATCTAGATATCTGATAATAAATTGATAAGTCCAATTGCATGATTTCACCCCTGAAAAAAAGATTATATCTATATATAAATTTTGAGGCAGGATATAAATCTGTGAACATTTTAATCAGTGGTTTACTATATATATATATATATATATATGAGGGTGATATTATAAAGCTCATCACTCCCTTCTTTCATTTGTGTTCAAGTCATCTGATCTGAAAATCATGTGAGAATGAATCTCAGGTTATGACTAGAACCATCTTTCAATGTCAATGTCCTCTTTTATATTTATCATATATATATATATATAAATATATATATATATATATATATATATTGGACATATAGTGGATGTGAATCAGATATATCACAATTTTAACAGTTACCATTACGGTCAAATTGACAGCTGATCTAAAAAAAATGATCTACATTCTTTTGTTAACTGGGGCAAGGAATGGCTTGTTAATTTTAAAACCTTCAAAAGAAGACTGTTCTCTTTTAATCATCTGAGAGAACCCTTTTCATCTTCTATCAGAATGGCTGATGCTAACCTCCAAGAGAGTAACTCACTGTACCTTCTCAAACTAACATTTTGTCCTGACATGAAGTGGAAAGATTATACTGAATCATCTTCACTATGGTAACTAGATTTTCTGAATTTAGGTCTCATTGTTTTACAGTTGAAATGACTAATGTAAGTTCTGTGCTAACAGTTTTTTTCTCTCACACTTCTCGCTTTTGAAACTCTCTTCTGGCTTCTTGCTTGCATTTCCTTAATAGTAGTTTTTCTCCTATTCTCTAACACTCAGTAATCTCTTGTGTTCTAGTGGCTTTATTGCCTTGCTTAGGGTGAAATGATTAAAAAAGTTAACTGAAGAAAAAGAACAATTTTAGCGTTAAACTTATTTTCCAAGTAAGTATGTTAATTTTTAAAAATAAAATCTATTAAATACAAATACACATCTAGGGGTACTTGCTATACAATTCTATCTATCTGATAGATTTATACATGGATACATAATATTCTTGTATCATTTCTTTTAAGGTGTTCAAAAATATTTGATTAATTTTTCCTGTTAATTTTTTTCCTTTAAATATTCATTTAGAAACAAGGCTCAATGATTCTGGAGCAGATCTTCAAGTTAAGAGGCCTAATGCTTTATTATTACTTACTACCACTCAATATAGGAAAATCGGAGAGTTGAATTCAAATTCCAGTTTGGTTCGTTATATTCACTTACATGCAAATAGCCTTGGGAAAGGTATGAATCCATCTATTCTCCCTCCAGCTATGAGTTAAATAGTAGGAGAGACTGTGTCCTAAAGCCTTGGTTGGCAATCAGGCTACTGCCGGAAAATCTTCTGCCTGGTCAGTCAGAAGAAGGAAACATGATTGCCCAACTGTATATCACATATGGCACTTAACTGACCACTCAGTATCATAAATGTACCAAAGAAAATAAAATTTGATTTCTGCTATTCTTTGCCTATTGGCCAGAATGTCATTTATGAAATTCATACGAATCATATATCGTCTTCTTTTATGTTGATCTGTTATTTTATTTGTGTCTAAACACTTTCCTTTGCTCTGTTTCCCAAACAACCTTTCCAAAACTATAATATGCAAGACAACAGTCCATATTATAATTAATACCTTGTTATAAGATCCATTGCCTTTTTATTTTTATTAAAAAATGTGGATTGATTTAATCATATCAGGAAACAAAGACAAAAGAAAAAGTGAAAGAAAGAATGTAAAGCAATAAAAATCTTTTGCATTGTTTGCATCTGTGTGCTTGAGTCTCTTTCTCTGTTTTATAATTTCACAATAGGGGAATTCCTTTCAGGGTGGGGGAATCTTTACCCTCTCTCCTCCTTTTTTTTCTTTCACTTTCTCTCTTTTTTGCTCAAATCCCATCATGAGAAAAAGGAGACATATACAGCAAAACAGCCTGTCTCTGGAATGGCTATATATATATATTTGTTTAAAATTTGCCATATTTATAGTGGGAAGAGAGCTTGATTATGGGGAGAACAGAGTGCTTGTAGATATAAACAGTGTGGACATAGATATAGATATTGCATAGAGATTTATCTGATGATCACATAAAATGTAACACATCCAATCACCATACAATGTTGATTTCTATGTCTATACTAAATATATATATATATATATATATATATATATATATATATTGTTGTGTCGTGGCACAATAGTAAAAAAATAAGAAAATCAAGTCGAAGTTGGTCTAAAGAACAAGTGTATTTAACATCACAGATACAAAGGTAGGAAACGGGTACTACTCAGCTAGGCAGTTGTAGTACTGTCGCTGCTTACACCGGGTAGGTATTACTGGCACTATATATTGTGAGAACCGATGTAATTCCTTTGTGTTAGAGGCCGGTAAATATATATATATATATATATATATATATATATATATATATATATATATATTATATCTATTGATCTATTTATATCAGCAATTGTGTGAGTTACATGAAATATCAGTGTGTATTTGTGTATATGTATTTTTCATACTTATTTGATATGAGAATATGTGTATACATATGTGTATGCATATATGCAAGTTCTGTATATGAGCATCATGTGCAGATGAAACACCCTGGCAATGGTTAGTTTGCTAACCACTAAACTATAACAGGTGTTCCGTACTTTGATGAGTTTGCATATAGGAACAGTTCATTTTACTTTCCAATAAACACATGTTTTTCCCACATATATATATATATATATATATGTCATCTTCAGACAGACTGTTTCGCTGTATCACAGCTCATCAGTGTGACTAGATGCCCGGTTGCTTCTAGCTAGGATCAAAACCCAGCTGAATTGGCGTCAGTCAGAGAATCTACTCTTACACCGTTGGTGAACAGCAGAGATGAAGGTGAATTAAAGTGTGTTTATTTTTAGATAAATACACCAGTGACTGAGAGAACTTGATTTGTTTTATCGAAGAGTATTGCATTAATAGCAGTATTAGTCACTGTTTACAAACACACTTTCTCCCCTGAGATTGATATTATTCATTATTTATATTCCATATATGCACATCAATGTGTATATTTTTAATGCTGAGTTCAAATTCTAACCAAATTTTATACTAATGTTCTTGGAAAAGGATATAAATCTTGCAGCTATGGGTTAAATAGCAGTGTAGACTGGATTCTTTGATCTTAGTAGGACGACCCATCTAGGAAAAGGAAATTTCTGAATTCAAGATCAACCTGAAGAAGAATGGGAACCATCAGTCTATTTTGCCCAAGACACATCAACTTTTGCCATAGCATCAGTACATATAGCACATCTATGACCACAATGGATTGTGATTGGGATCAGGATCAATCCTTGGTATTTCTTATTTGAAAAAAAATAACAAAATAAATTTTTTTCATGATTTGTGGAAAGAATTAAAAGTCCCTAAAATTACTAATATAATGCTGTAAAAAATGTAATGACGAAACAAAAAAATTATAAAAGGTAAGACTGTAATCGTATTACATGGAAACATTCGAGCTTTACCTTAGCGGCTAAAAAAAAACCCTTTCCAGGAAAAAGTAAGCCATCCTGTTTCCATTGTCAATAATACTATTGTCATAACGCCATTCTTTTCAACCTTCTACTTTTTCCTCCCTCATCCTTTACCCTGTACTCATTCTTCATATCCTCCCCTTCCTCCTACTGTCTCCCTATTCTATTTTACCTCCTCTCTTTCTTGCACTGTGTCTCTTTGCCTATCACTTTAGTTTCTCTCTCTCTCTCTCGAAAGCCTTCATCGAATGCAGTGAACTTCCTTAAACAAAGTCTATTATTTCTGTATTGTGTTTGGAACTGAGCTGGGGAACAGGGAATGGTGGAGGGTTAGGCCCAGGACCAGCTCAGATATATTTTGATAATTCTATTATTTTCATGTTAACTGAATTCTCTCGATGGAAACTGACGTTTCAATAGTTGAAGCAAAAGAATGAAATGCTATGCTTAAAGAATGGGCCCTCACCCTCAACCCCCTACCATCATTTGATTTCCAATTTCTTTTTTTTTTTTGTTATAAATTCTCATCTTTCTTTTCTTCTTTTTTATCTCTCTATCTCTACACACTCTTTCTCATCAAAAATCTCCATCGTCAATATTCAATGACAATTGAATATCACAGAAATTGTGTAAGAAACACTCAATAAGATGCACTTTTTTAGAAATTTGTTTTTTTTTTTTTTTTTTGTTAATGTTTTCTTTCATTGTCTTCTTCCTTTTACTGTTACTCTGTCATCTTCAACCTCCTGATTTTGACTACTTTTCTCATTATTACATTCATTTGGATTCTTTATTCACTTTCCTTTTCATTATCTTTCTGCATTTTTTGTTCTTTCTTTCTTTTTGCCTCCTTTTCTATCTTTCTTTCTATTTCTTTTTTCTATCATACTTCCTGTTTCTTTTTTGTTTCCATTTTTTCTTCCTTTTTGTTTCTTTTCTTTCTTTTTGTTATCTTTCTTTTTTACCTTCATTTTTTTTATTTTATTTACTTTTAAATTATTTTTACATTCTTTTGTTTTTTATCTATTTTTCTCTTATTGACACCCCCCTCCCAATTTTCTTTCTATTTGGTACCTTTTATAATTTCATTTACTTTAAATTCTTAAAATTTTTCCAGGCCATTTTTTATTATGCTATTGTCTCATTTTCCCCAGTCTATAACCATTTTTTTCACTTTTAATTCTCTGAAAAAAAAAAAAATCCTTTATTTTGTTTTGTCTTTGCATTAATTCTACCATTCCTTCATTCTTTCATTCCATTATTTGATGCCACCATTTTCCTTGTTATCCCCCCTACCCACTTTATCCTGAGAGGATGAATGCAGTTGTCATTGGTGAACAACACCATTCAGGAATCCCTTGATTGAATCCAGGAAGAATACAACATATATCATCTGCTATTGTGTCCGGAAGGTGGGACTAGGGACAGTGCTTGGAGTTGAGAGAGGATGCATATCTGTCTAGGGATGGCGAAGGTTGGGAGTGATGTAACAGAAGAAAAAAAAAAAGGAAAAATGGAGGAAGGAGATAATAAAAGGAAGAGAAAAAGAGATAGAAGTACATTGAAAAAAAAAAAAAAAACAGAGAAGAGAGAACGGTAGAAAATGACTGAAAAAGAAAGAAAGAATGAATATATGAATTAAAGATGAGTTAAGAATCAATAAAATAATAAAAAAGAGAAAAAAAAAAAGGAATTTCATATGAAATTAAAAAAAGTTGAAAAGCAAGAGAGATAAAGAAAAGAATAAGTTACCAAGTTAATACAAAGGGGGGAAAAAAAAGAAAGACAAAAAATAAGAAAGTGTAATGGAAAAAGTTGTAAAAGATTATGAAGAGAATTTGAGTGAAGAAGAGATTAATTTAGTGAGTATTCATTTCAGAGAGAGAGAGAGAGAGAAAGAAAAAAAGTCATATATTAAAGAATATATGAATGATTATGAAAATATTAAAAGAAAAGAAAGAAAATAGACAGAGAAGTAAAGAAACTCAAGGAAGAAGAAAAGGAAAAAGTTAAAAAGAAAAAAAGGAAAATGATGAGAGTATGAAAGTAATAGAAAGAAGATAAACAAAGAAAGGAAAACAAAGTAAAGCAAGCAAAGAAAAGAAAAATAAATAAATAAAAAGAGAGGAGATACAAAAATTATATTTAACAAAAAAAAAAGAAAGAGAGAGAGAGAAAAGGTGAAATGAGGTAGAGAAAAGAGGAAGAAGTTAAAGAATATGAAAAAAGGAAAAAAATAAAGTGATAACAATTTATTTTAGAGAGATATGAAAGAATAAATAAATAAAAAGAAATGAAAGAGAACAGAAAAAGAGCAGCAGGAAACATAGGAATTTCAGGTGTTCTCAAGTAAGGCGTTTAACAAGATCTCAGAAAAAAAGAGATTAAGATTTGGAGGGATTTTGGTGAGAATGGAACTACCTTTCTATCCATCCATTTGTCAATCAGTCAGTCCTTTCTGTCTGTAAGCTCCAGTATGTGCCTTAGCTTATATGCATTTGTGTTTGTGTCTAGCAATGAAGGCAGATTTCTGCATAAAAAAAAGAATGGACATTGCCCTCTAGTGGCAGAAACAGGGGCAGTGAACTCTTTGCAACTGTCAGCAGAGCCTGATCAATGGAGGGGGAAAAGGCCATGCAAGATGGACAGAATAAATATGCAATGTAACGTTTCTGATTGACGCCAAAACCATTGCTGTCGACATCCACACTAGCAATGTTGCCAGTGTTGCTACTGCCTTCAAAGAACAATAGAAGCAAAAAACAAAAGTGGAAAAAAGCATAAAAACAGCAACACAAACAGGGAAGTATAAGTGGCTGCCAGATTGTTAAAGCAAAAATGAGAGGTTTCTCTGTTTCTTCTAGTCACCTTACCTGAGTAATATATATATATATATATATATATATATATATATATATATATATATGCATGTGTGTGTGTATATACATGTGTATGTTGATGTATGTACAATTTTCTGAAGAACTGTTTCTGAAAAGGTAGTGGTCATTGTGAAACAAGTGAACAAAGAAGGAAAAAAAGTAGATGAATAGATACTGTTGACCTCTGCACTTATTGTCATGGCAACAGCACATGAAAAACCCCCACTGACCCAGAAAACAAACAAACTAAAACCTTAAAAATTCCCAAGAGTGAAGGTGTTTCATTGTCTTTTGGGCTTTTCTTTTTTTTTTTTTTTTTTTTTTTTTTGCTGGCTGTTGGATGAAGAATGTCTGTTTCCCAATCCATTTAACTCGGACAGAATACAACATCAAGCTCGCTGAAGACAAAATGAGTGTCAGGAAAGTCTGGAAAAAGTCTTTTTTTGTGGGAGGCTTATCTTATAAGAAAGGAAACACTTGTCACAAAAGATCACATTTTTGCAGAAATATTTCTCAGTATTCAGACGATTACAATTCATAATTTTCTATTTCCTTTTTTTTTTCCTCTGTTTAGGAGTTTTTTGAAACTCATATCTCCATAATTGCTTTTTTTATTTTTTAAATGTCATAAGCTCATCGGCAGTTCTTCTTTGTGCCATAATAATATGAGATGATTGGGGAACTTATTGATTAAATGATCTGTGTTATAAAAATGAGACGCACTTTTAAGTTCAATACTAGTGAAGAATACACTATTTATATTATTCGGACTATTGTCCTCATCTTTGTCGCCATATTTATTACAATGTTTCAGCCGTTGTATGTTCCGGCTTCTTCAGGTGGTTGGAGTGTTGAACTGAACACTTTATTTCGCTCACTGGGGTAGACTGTTCTAGTTCCACGTGCCATGTCTAATGGATGTCAGCTTTGGGTCCTGTCACTGGATCTAACCAATGCCTTTATCCACTGTGCCATGTGTTCTTGAGGACATCTATGTATGAATTTCTGGGTATTATAAACCTAATGTCTTCAGCAACCATTTTTTAAGTGTGCTCATATTGCAATTTTTGCTGTTATCATTGCATATTTTTACCAGAGCTCATATTGCAATTTTTGTTGTTGTTATTGCTTTTCTTTAGACAGATACTGAAGAATAGTAAACTGGTGACAAAAATCTTTTGTTTTCAGAACCTATGATGCTAGGATTTCTCATCATGAGCTTTCAAGAACAAAGAAACTTTAATTTGAATTTGGAATTAAACATTTTTTTAATTATTTTTTTACCCTTTTTTGCCTGTTGTTAACATATATTTTTTCATAAAATGCCTTCACAAAACTTGCACTGTTTACTATTGATGTATATATGCATTTTGAAGCTGTACTTACACATCTTTATGAAATTTACAATGCCTAATGTCGATGTGTATATATATATATATATATATATATATATATATATATGAAGAAATATACTCTTAAGGTGTGCTATATTTATAGGATAAAGTGCTCAGTGTCAGAGATAGAGTGTGTGTAAATATAGAATATTATATATATATATATATTGGAAATGACAGCTTTACATGATCTTTGCCATTAGAGGCAAAAGAAAAAAAGAAGGAAAATGATTAGGGAGAGAGTGTAATGAAAGAAGGAAATGATAAAAAGGAGAAATAATTGCAGAATTTGACACATATGCATATACAAACATACACATGTACGCACACATATACATGCAGACACAAAAAGATAAAGAAACATCAATCTAACTCCAAGAGCATTCCAGATAGTGCATAAATTACTTACATCAAACTTAGTCTAAAGATAATTAAAAATGAGAAAAACAGCAGTCAATTATTAAAACCTCTGGACGAGTGGACTGAACACAAAAAAGTTTGTCTATGTGTTATGGTAATGAGCCCATGCACGCAGGAACTCTCCCAGCTATAAATAGGAGCAGGTACTGCCTTTTAGAGAGTGTAGTTTCCAGCAGTCAGCTCTGATACTCAGACTGAACATTCTTTCTCATTTGTATATGTTTTGTAATTCTGTTTCTGTTAATATATTTAACTCAATTCCCCCCTTTGTGCCTTTATTTCTCACCCCCAACACTCTGAAAATCTGGATGTGAGATGTTGAATATAACATCAATCAGCTAAGTGACAAATTTTATTTGTATTAATCCTATATATATATATATATATATATATCCAAATGTAAAGAGAACGAAATAAATATAAATTTAAATGTTCATGACATTAATTTAAAAGAGAGCTCAACATAAAAGTAGAGCAATAATTATTTATTATAAGTTATACAATAACTTACAATATATATATATATATATATATTTTTTCAAGACAGTAAAATATTGGTCACTAGCTTTTGTATTATAAACTAAACAACATAGCCATATTACATGTTTTTCTGATGTATTTTGATTGTGTGGAAGAAGAAGTTACTCTTTGAAGCAAAAGACAGTGAAAGACAGTCAATGTCCTGAAAGGATACAGCATATGTGTCATTTAGCTTAGCTTTTACTTTAGGGTACCCAATTAAAACCATAATGGCAGCAACCATGAGAAATTGCCATCAGCGTCTTTATTAGTTCTTTATTTCTAGAAAACATTAATTTTTATTTTTCCTAAAATAGATCAGATAATAATGCAACTGAGAAAGTGTTAAATACAGACAAATTCTCTAACAGGTCACGTAATCATAACTTGAGCTTAGTCCAATTTCAACTTTAGAAAAATCATCTAGACTTACAGGGAAATATTAAATATTTTATATTTAAAAATATGTCATTTCTGAACATGCTACTAACATGATGTAAGAATTTCAGCCAGTGTGCATTTTACAGGCCAAAACACCACCACAAGTGAACCAGTCTACTGGGGGTGGGGGATGAGCGTTTTTATCAATTCACCATCTCTAGATAGATTACCAAGCAAGGCTGAAGAACCTTTATCTGTCTATTAGCAAAATCACTGACAAGTTTTGAACAGTTCACTCACACTTATGAGGCTAGGGTCAATCCATTTTTATTGTTTTCAGACACTCTCCAATGGTACTGAGATTGTCTCCTCTAGGACAATATTATCATGAAGTCAATTTCTAGACTAATCGGCCATTATGAGATTCAAAATCTGAGTCTCATGGTCTCTGACTCTGTTTGGCCACACACACACACACCTCTCCCCATTTACCCTTCCATTAAATATTGCTGCCATTTATGGTCTGGTGCTTCTGTTATGTATCTAGAGAAATACAAAGAAAAATATGAAATGATATTCGTCCTGAC